TAGCTGCTGGATGTCTGGAGAGATGTCTCCATAACAGCTGATTCACAAGCTCTATGTCCACTGTAGTTACAAGATACAAGTTTTTCCTCTTGGATCCATCCTGTGTTTTCCAAGGCTGTTTAGATCTTGATGGGACATGTTCCTGCTTCAGCAGCATCTCTGCATTGAGGCCAGGTAGGGTGTGTAGGATGCTTTGAGGAGTCTGGTAGTAAAAAACACCCCACCTTTCAAAAGCTTTGATTTCAGATCATGAGCAGACCAGAGCTGCTGTCTCCTTCCTCATTCACAGAAGGAGATTGAAGTGATAGTGCGTATCTGCTCATAAGTAGAGTTGATATCCCAGTACATGAAGCAGTACTTCCTTACTTGGCACCCTGCAAATGCCAGGCTACCTTGATCTAGCCTCCTTACCTGAGCCGAGTAATGTGGTCTACAGAGCAGCCAGAGGTGCTGGCTCCTCTCCATCTTTTCTCAGTGACAAATGATGGAGATGCTAGAAATGTGCTGGTGTTAGGTCTGGGGCTTCCAAGACTTAGCTCTTTTCAGGCTCCTCTCTGTCTATTGCATGGTTCCCCAGCTGCTCTGCACACAGCTCTGCTAATGCATATCAGCCATGGGCAGCCCCAGCAGTTTGTCCATCTGCTCCATCAGCAGCAGCTCTCACACCTGCAATACCCCATTTGGAGCTCAGGTTGGAAGTGAGATGCAACAGGTGGGGATACGTACACCCAGCATATCTGAGCTGCCATATGCTGCTGTCATGGGCTGTCAGATGGCAATCTTGTAATAACCTTCACCGCTGGTGGTCAGAGCTTGATTCCATGTGCCATTTACAGGCAGCCCTGAGGATAAAAAGGTCCTCAGTCAGCTAGTGCTCAAACGTAAATGTCAAACCAAGGTTGTTCTAGCAGATTTCCTCACGAGACTGGTGCAAAAAGGAAGGAAGCTGTGTTAAGAGATCTTCCTGCCCACAGCAGCAACACAATAAGCAGTGGAGCAGCTTTGTGCTGGTGGAATATCTGGGGTAGGAGGGAACAGCCATTCTGCTCGTTTGAGGTGCCTTTGGTCAGTATGTCTCCCCCAGGAGCTAAAACTGGCCAAAAAGGTCTGTTGCAGTGTACCACATCCCATGTTCTCGCTTGTGTTTTTTAATATGTTTTATTTGTTCAGACAGTTTTTAATACCTGATGGTGAGGATGCTCACTGGCAGCCATCTGAACATGATCCAGAGTGTGCCAAGTGGCTATGAAAGCCAACAGCATCCTGGCCTGTGTCAGTAATAGTGTGGCCAGCAGGACTGGAAAGTGACTGTTTCCCTGTACTCAGCAGTGGTGAGGCCACACCTCAAGTGCTGTGTCCAGTTTTGGGCCTTCCTCCTGTCACTGAGGTGCTGGAGCACATCCAAAAGACAGTACAGCTGGTGAAGGGTCTGTAGAACAAGTTTTAGGGGGAACGGCTGAGGAGGCTGGAGGCTGGTGGGAGACATTGAGCTCTATAACTACCTGAGAGGAGGTTGTAGCAAGGTGTGTGGTCAGTCTCTTCTCCCAGGTAACAGGTGATAGAACAAGAAGAAATGGCCTCCAATTGTAGAGGGGAAGTTTAGATTCTCTGATTCTATGCTGTTTACTGTGCATCATCCTGCAGATAATATGGAGAGGGTACATGAATGGAGCACTGCAGTGTTTGGAACAGGCTAGAAGCAGGGTCATCAGCAAAATACTGATGCCCTCTGCAAAGCTGCATGGGCCTTGCGTGGATTAAACCTTTTCGTGACCAAATACCTACCTACATTCCTTGCAGTGTTAGGACTTGAGAAAGACTTCTGAGGAGTATTTCTGGGGAGGTGTTGTTTTGGCTTTGCTTTCAGTTCAGACAGGCTTTGGCTGCCCTGATACTGCTCTCTGGAGGCCATTGCTTTCCTTCCTTCCTTCCTGCCTCCCTCCCTCCCTTCCTCACTCCTCCCTCCCTCCTTCCCCTACATTACTGAGTACATGGATGGTGATAAGCCTATAGAAACTGAAGAGCTGGCTTCCTTGTCTGCAAGGGTAAAGGATACCAAACCAAGCTTGTCTTTTCCAAAAATACAAACTCACCTTTGTATTTGTCTATTAAAAAGAGGTACAGCCCAATGGACTGCTTGTGCTACAAGCACTATCAAAAACTCAGTTTTGTCCAGAAGATAACATCTGTGTCCCATCTTACATGCATTTCCCAAATAAAAAGGGAAGAAGCTTCTGATAAATTCACTTGTTTGTGTGGGCCTCGGGTCACTGGAATTTTGGGCCAGAGTGATCTCCTGAAGGTTCTCTGATATTACTGACCCATAAGAATGTAAAAGAGCATGGGACGAGAGGAAGATAGAAGAAGGGGAGGAGATGTCAGTCTGTGTGGTGGGCAGCATGCCCATGCCCTCGTGGTGGGTAGAGGAGATGCCTTGCACAGCATGGAAATCCTTGAGAGTGGTAGTGGTGGTTGCCTGTGTATGCTTGCAGGCTGCCATGATCGAGTCCCCTGCCTTGGGAGCAATTGAAAAGAAGTCTCCTTCTACCAAACTGGGTTTTTTAAAGTTGGCCTTGAATAAATCCTCTAGCAGCTGAAGAGAGGTGGCAACTGGAGGGTGGGAAATAAAACACTCTCTCTGGAGGTGGGGAGCACTGGGGCTAGCCAGACTCAGCTCCTTCCACTCAGGCCTTTGCATACTGAGCCACTGTCACTGAAAATGTTGCAGCACCTTCCACCTGTGGCTTTCAACAGGCTGCTGCAATGTCCAGGCAGCCTGTCAAGCTTTTAGAGGTGGGCAGGGAAAGCATGAGCTTTCCATAAAGCTCGTTCTCCTGTGAGAGGGATGTTTTGCTCAGGACAGATGGGATGATCTTCCTAGCTCTCCTCTGCCCTGCTCCAACCTCTCCCAGCTTCCAGGTGTCCCTGACCTCTTCTACCAAATTTTCCTGCCCTGGTTTTACTGGCCTTGTTGATTTTATTCTGTAGCACTCACAAGGACTTAATTTCAATTTGCTACAAAGTTGGTGGGGCTGGTACCTAGCCAGAGTGGTTTCTATGTAAAATGTGGATCAGCATCAGGAGAGTGGTAGGGGTAATGGAGGTTCCAGGGCTGATCAGCGCCTCGGGTACACAGGGGTTCTGGTTAGTGGAGTGCAGGGAATGCAGAGAGTCTTCGCTAGGTGGTAACACCTGCTCTGCCCCTCTGGGCTGAGCTGTGAGACTCGTTGAGCAGTAAAGCTGTGGGGAGCAACTCTACCACATGCCTCAGGTAGCATTGCCATGTCTCCCCCTCCCTGCTTCAGCCTTCTGTCCCTTGCTTCCCACTGTCCCCTTGCTCTGACAGCCACAGCGTGGCCTGGGACTCATAGGGGAGCCTACTGAATTCCTGGTCTCTGTGTTAACAGCCACCATCCGGATGCAATGGAAACCTTTTTTAGGAGGCACTTTGGGCGGAAGGGGCTGCGGCGCACCAGCGTGGTGGCTGTGCCCACGGGCAAGGCCAGGCGTCGCTCCCAGGTGGGGCTGCCCTCCCCCTTGCTGGCCCAGTGCCGCCGTGGCTCAGGCACCCCAGCAGCATCCCTCTCCTGCCTGGGCCTGGTCCGGCGTCCCGGCACGCGGCGCCGCTCCAGCACCACGCCGCCCTGCCTCAGCCCCAGGTTTGCCGTGCAGAAGAAGTGCGGAGGCCAGGCACAAGCCATTGATGCCCAGCTGCTGGGTGCCACTGTCCTCCGGGCCGGCCTCGTTCCCACGGGAGCGGAAGGGGACAGGGCTCACTGCGCTGATAGCTCCACATCTGAGTCTCCGGAGGACGGTGGCGCAGGAGCTGAGCAGGGCCAGCACGAGCATTGTGCTGAGGAGACGTGGCTGGCCATGCTGCCCCAGCAGCGGCCGCTCCAGGCCGGGCTGCTGTCGCGGGGCCCCCGCTGCCTGCGGCGCGCCTCCTCCCACCGCCTGCCCGCCGAGGCGCCGCACGGCCGCGCTGCCTACGGCCTGCCGGGCCGCTACCGCCGCCTCAGCCAGCGCCGGCGCTCCAGCGATGCCCGTCAGCCCGCCCTGCTCCCCTCTGGCCACCCACGGCCGCTGGCCCAGCACTGTGCAGGAATAGCTGGAACCAGGTGCCCCTCTGCCACCCTCGTCAAGGGTTTGGGACCGCAGCACACCTGCCACACCACCCCAGACGGCTGGAGCCCCCGGCTGCTGTATGTATGGTGGCAGCGTGCAAGCAGGCAGTGCCCCGGGGAAGGGAGAGGGGGAGTGCAGATCCAGGTTTGGTGGGGAAGGAGGGAAGAGACTCAGCGCCGTTGGTCCTGGCTGCCATCGGTGTCTTGCAGTGCTGCTGGTGTACCATAAGCATCTTCCACTCTGGCCAGCACTGCCACTGATGCTCTTGGTCAAGTTCCTGGGTGCCCTCTCCTGCCAGGATGGGACCAGAGGAATGTTGTAAGCCTGGTTACTGGCTGGAGATGCACCTTTCTCCTGTTAGCTGGATTTCCTGCTCCTTCCTCCACCCTAGCACATCTGGGAGAAGCTCACTAGCCCCAAGCAAACAGCTGCTTTTATTCTGGCCAGTTGTACTGGTCCCTGGAAACAGCCCAGGCTCTGAGGTGTCTGAGAGATGCAGAGGCTGTTGGACAAGAGCTCTAGATTGTCCCTGCAAAGGCAGTCCCACCACCAAAGCTCAAAGCTCAGCTTGGTGGACACTCCCAGGGTGTTTTACAATGGAGCTCTTATCCCTGAGGGCATTAACCCAGCAGGCCCAAGCTGTGCCTTTTGTTGGGTACATGCTGTCTGGCTGAACTGTCAGCAACACGGCCAGTGCCACTTCATCCCACAGGACTATCTCACAGAAACAGGTACTTCTCAGCCAGCTGGGATGGAAATTCACCTCATTTCCAGCCCCTTGGTCCTGAGGAGACTTTTCTGCTCCAGCCTCATGTTGCATCTTAGAAGCAGGTTGTGCATATATATTTAATAGCCAGCTCTTCCTTGTCTTCCAGGAAAGCTATTGCCAAATCCAGTCTCCAACACATGGTAGCCCAGCCAAACCCGGCACTAGCCATGAGGAGCGACTCGGAAAGGCAGATACGCAGCACTGTGGATTGGAGCGTAAGTTGTACTGTGTTTTGCTGGGCATTGCATGGATGGGCTCTCATCCAGGAAGCAGCACGCTCTTCCCTGGATTGAGGCTTCCCAGGTGACTGACTTTGACACTTTTATGGCCTCTCCCATTGCCGCCAACTGGTGCCAGCATCTGTGCTCCTGGCAGCACTACTTGATGCTGCAAGAGAGAGGCTGTGGAGGCACAGGTGGTTCCTGGAGGGGTGGCATAACTGCTCTACTCCCAGCTTTTCTGCTTCTGACAGCCAAGATCTGTTGGCTGGGGCCAAGCAACGGGAGTAAACCCCTGCTCCTTCACAGGCAATGCCCCACAGGTTTTAAGCTGCATGTTCAGGTTGTAGAACAGAAGCTGGTTCAGGAGTGTCCCCTGCACTGAGTTTGCGCTGATGCCTCCTCTCAGGGTGATGAAAGCAGTTTCCCTGTGCAGGACACTATGAGTGGTTTGTAGGTCTTGGAGTTGGTTTCCTGGGGCTCTCTTGTTTACAATAGGTGGGCCATGGCAGCAGCTTTGTGGGGTTTCCTCTCTGCAGATGTCCCTGGCTGTTGTGTGCATCTTGTCTCCTGGCCTCCACCTAGCTCCAACCTCCCACCCCCAGTATTGTCCAGTATCTTGACCCTTGCATAAAGCATTTTAGGTGCTCAGGTGCCTCTCTGGGGGTTCTCTCAGAGCTTGTGTTGTCTTGTGTCTTTCAGGAGGCTGCGGTCTATGGGGAGCACATCTGGTTTGAGACCAATGTCTCTGGGGACTTCTGCTACGTTGGGGACCAGAACTGCATGGCAAAGCTTCTGGTGAGTCACCTGGGGCCACCTGCCTTGGCAGCAATGGCCACAAACCTGGTTGTGCTGTCACCTTGTGGGGGAGACCGCAGAGACCACACTGCTGCTGCTGCTGCTGCTGGGGGACATGCAGGGGTGTGGGGAGCTGCCAAGGTAGGGACTGTGTCCCTCCTGCCTCTGCATACCGGAGGGCCTAGCCCCCAGTTTCTGCCAATGCTGAATTCCGCAATGGGAACCTGATGCAGGGCTGCCACTTGCCTGGAGGGTTCCAGAGAGAGGCTGTTGGTATTCCACACTCTTGGAAGGACAATCTGAATCCAAGACTTTACAATAGAGGAGAAAAGTGAGCTGTGGAGACCCAGGTCTATTGCAACCTGCCCCTGCAGTCCTCCCTCCCAGTTTGCTGGCTCTGTTCTGCTCGTGGTGCATGACACGGAGCACTGATGCCACACTCTTCCTGCTATCCTGCAGGTGCCTGCCACTGATGCCACCCTGTAGGTGCCTCCCAGACCAGCTTCCATGGTGTTCTCAGGCAGTGTCAGAAAAAGACAAGGACTGAGGAACAGGATAGTAGGGAAAATACCTCCCTGCTCAGTCCGAGGCTTGAGAACATCTGCTATAGGCACACGCTTAGACCCCTTCACTAGATAAGCAGTCTAGGTTGTATCTAACTTTACAATAGGGCTTGTTCTGTATCCCAGTAATAAGAAGGAGGTATGATGGGAGGCTGAGCTTGCCAGGCTCTGAACACGACATATTTTCATTCACATATATATTCACACATATATTTTTTCTCCCCTTTTCTTACCCTTCAGCAAAAACCTCTCTCCAGGCGCAAGTGTGCAGCCTGCAAGATCGTAGTGCATACACCCTGCATCGAACAGCTGGAGAAAGTGAGTAGAGTCTGTTAAGCCCTCCCTGCAGCTCGCAAAACTGTAGCAGCCTTTTCCTGAGCAGTGAAACACAAGAAGACTGGGGAACTGTGATGTGTAGTTGCAGAGAGGGGTCTTCTGAGGAGACAGTACCAAAATGAGGATCTAGTGACATGACTGGGACCCCAGGCCCCATTTTGTTCAGTAACCATGACATGTGAGGGTTTTGTGACAAGTACCAAACAACTCCAGAGGTTCTGAACCTTACTGTAGTGCAGTAAATTTCAGTAGATTTCCTTCAGGTACGATGGTTTTACTGGTTCCTCTCGTGTGTTCTTCCTACAGATAAATTTCCGCTGCAAGCCTTCCTTCAGGGAGTCAGGATCCCGGAACATACGGGAGGTGAGAGATGTGCCTTGGACGCCCACATCTGCATCTCCCATTTCCAGTTTGGTGGTGAAGACACCAGATGCTGCCAGCATATTGCCCATCCAAGTGGAGACATCATGTTCCTTCCTGCTCCAAGGGGGTGGTGCCATAAAAAGGATGTTTCTTTGCAAGGCAGCAGCACAGACTGGGTGTGAAGAGTGAGGAGTTTGCAGGCAGCAGATGCAGACCATCTGATAGTTTGCATATTCTGACTCTGTATGGGAGGAACCTACAGGCATTGTTTTTTGGGAGAAACTTTGCCCCTTTTTTTGGGACCTCAGGCACATAGATGAGGAAGTGGCAGGTCCCCAAGTCTCCTGCAATTTGGAAGGAAGCAGTATGGGCTCATTTCTGGCTTTATCATTCTTCCCTGACCTAGGTGCCACAGGTGACAGTGGAAGTTGCCCACAGTAGTGGTATCAGACCCCTTCAGCCCATGTTGTAATGTACTGGGCGTAAGCAGTGGCCTGGAACCTGTCTGCTGACCTGCACTGCTGGAAGCAGCTGTCAGCCTTCATGCTTCACCCTCCAGCCTGTGGAGCCAGTGTAGCCTGTGCAGTGCTCTGGAGTGGGTGTGGGTGGCTCAGTCACAGGCCATTTTGGTAACAGAGATGCCTCCAGAACACTGTGTTTCTGCTGGCACAGCAGACCTAGCTGGGGAAGAATATTCAAAACACAGGGCTGCCTGCTTTGAAATGCCAGCATGATGTCATAAAGGGAAGCTTTTAGCATCACTTTAAACCTTTCTTTCTTGCTCTGTTTTTCTTTCTGTACCTCCTTCACATATTGCTTTTAGTCTAGCTGTCTTATTTGTGCTTCACTTACCTTTTGGGCTCTGCTAACAGCTTGCTGCCTCTGCTCAATCATCCGTCTCTATTTTTCTTCTCTCCAACCTCTACAAATTTTTGTCCCTGCCCTTTCTTGCTTTTTCTCACAAATTCTGCTTCTTCATCATGTCTTTCTAATGCTTCTCAGTTCTTCCAAGGCCTCTTTCTTCCTGTTTCCCTAAAAAGGTGCTCTTCTGGCATTTGTGGTGCCAGGGATCCCCTTCAGGATCAGCCCTTTCCCTAGATGTGCCTGCTTGGACCCAGAGCTGAGCTCAAGGCATAGCCCTCCTTCTGCTCCTGCTGGATTAATGCCCACTAAAGCCAACAAGACTTTTTGTCCCCTCCCGTGTTGCTACACTCAGAGAAGGCAACGCTGGAGCTGACCCCAACCTCCTGCCAGTTTCTGCCTCTCATCATCATCATCATCCCAAAAGCTGTCAGGAGCAGGATGTTGGGCCCTGTCATGGCAGCCTTTCTCTTTTTGCTACTCTATCTGCACTGCCATTCCTAGTCCAGGGCTGGAAGAATAGGATGGGATTTAGGACAAGTGGTACTTCATTACAAAACTTCTGACTCCCTCACAACCACTTCTGCAAGTCCCAGCCCTGAACCCACCGTGAGCCTGCAGGCAGAGCAGTGGTGCTGGCGAGCAGCCTTGCTGCCCACGCTGGGACTGAAGCAGGCTCAGGATTGGCCTGGCGAAAGAGCAGGGGGAAGTGGGTGTGGAGGGCTTTGGGGCTGCCACTCTTCTTGAGGAATATGAAATGAGGAGGTTCACTGCTTAGCTGCAAGCACTTCCATCTTCTTCCCGTGGGCACAAACTGGGATTTTCACACGTTCCACCAGCACATTTTTCACCTGGCTCTAGGGGCATCTGGGCAGAGATGTTAAGGAACAGAGATGTGCTACTGCTTGCCCACTCTCCATTGGATCTGCTTTGTGTGATTCTCAGTCTTTAGTTTCTCTGTCCTCCTTATTTCTTCTGGTTTTAATTCCCTTTTCTTTGAGCATCTTAATTTGGCCTCTTGCCCCCTGATTCTTTGGCTTTGTCTTCTCTCAATGGGTGTGGGGCTGGTGCCTAGGAGCATTGGTTTTGCTGCAAGAGCAGCAGTTGGCTGGCCTGTGTCCATTTCTTCTGCCTGTTCCTGTGTTCCCTCATGCACTGGGCCCTTCACTTTTTTTTTTTTTTTCCAATTTTCTTTTTTTCTTTTTCATTTAGCCCATTGTTGTCCGACATCACTGGGTGCATCGGAGGCGGCAAGAAGGGAAATGTCGGCAGTGTGGCAAGGTGAGAGGGCATCTTGGGCATTTTTCTCAGCCTGAAGGAAACCTAAAGTCAAGTCAGAGACATACACAGAGCTGGGAACCAGGGACATCCCACCATTCCTCTTTGGCAGCAAAACCAAGACACGTGCCCTGCTTTTCTCAGTGAAGCACTGCGTAAGTGCTTCCCACATAGAGTAGTTCTTCCCCTGGGCCCAACTAATCCTGAAAGAAATTGTCTTCCTGACATGCTTTCCTTGGGCAATAAGGACACCCCTACAGAGCACAGTGGCCTCCCTGGTGCTGTTGTGTTCAGGACTGTCTGACAAGATCTGGAGGGCTCCAGCTGCAGGCATGCTCTTTGCTAATGTCTTACTGTTGGATGGTAGGAAGCTGCAGAGAACTCCCTAAGCCTCTTATCCTTTCTTCCATAGGGTTTTCAGCAGAAGTTTGCCTTCCACAGCAAAGAGATTGTAGCCATCAGCTGTTCCTGGTGCAAACAAGCGGTGAGCAGAGCCCCCCTTTATGCCTTACCAGTCGGTTCTGCGCTGATGACCCCTGCCGGGACTCCCAGGCTGCTGCTCTGCAGCCTGCCCTTAACAGCTCCCCCTCCTGGGAGAAGCTGCACTATGAGCTAGGCAAGCTCCTTGGAGAAACTTTCTCTTCGTTGCCTTCCCATCACAAAATGCCTGCATGGTTTTCATCCAGCACTCCCTGCATTGGCATGGGGGACCTGAGAGGAGGAGATGGTGGCTGTGCCCAGCAAACTGAACAGCTGAGTTTTCTTTCTGTCTTCTTGGCCAGTATCACAGCAAAGTATCATGTTTCATGCTGCAACACATTGAAGAGCCCTGCTCACTAGGGGCTCACGCTGCTGTCGTCGTTCCTCCCACCTGGATTCTGCGGGTCCGGCGGCCCCAGGTAAGTCACTTCAACTCTTGGGACTCTTTCACAGTTCCCACTTGCCCAGTGCCTCCTCACAGGGTTTTCATGTTTGTTTCTTTTCTCTCTAGAATCCACTGAAATCTAGTAAGAAGAAGAAGAGGACATCATTCAAGAGGAAATCCAGCAAAAAGGGGGCTGAGGTGAGACATGAGGGGACTGGGAATGACCTTGTCATAGAAGGGCAAAGGGACTGAATAGTGAGGAACAAGGCTGGGAATAAAAGTGGGCTATTCTGGATCTGCACTGACTTTAAGGAGGCTGAGCTGGAGGGAGGGTGCCTGCTGGCAGGGTGTATCCCAGATATAAAGTTTATGGGATGGCTGGGGTGTTTTCTTCCTCCTGCTTCTGACCTGCATGACATTAGGGCTCAGCTGGAGGTGGCAGTTTGCATTTCCCTTGCTTTGTTGAAGGATCATCTATGGTGTCTCTTTCAGGAGGGGAGGTGGAAACCCTTTGTCATCAAGCCCATGCCAGCTCCTCTCATGAAGCCCTTGCTGGTGTTTGTGAACCCCAAGAGTGGTGGGAATCAGGTATGGCCTTGTCTGGTGTGTCTAAGAAGACACCTCTGTGAGGGCATTGCCATTCAAGTGCTGAGCTCTGATCATAGTTTTAGTGATGTTTCAGCTGCACAAAAGACCACAATGCCAGTTTGCTACCCAGCAGTTCCTACCTCGGCCAGGCTTTGCCTGTGTTCCCTCCAGAATGGTGTTGTCTTAGCCTATCCCCAGGCAGGACCAGATGCTCCCTTCTGCTGTGCACTGAGAACTCGATATTGCCTGAAGTTTTTCTTCTCCCCACAGGGAGCCAAGATCATCCAATCCTTCATGTGGTATCTGAACCCACGGCAAGTTTTCGACCTCAGCCAGGGTGGACCCAAGGAGGCGTGAGTACTGATGGTGGCAGCACCTTTCTCTCCCCCATCTGTGTCCCAGGATTCCTCCCAAGATCTCTTCCCCCATCTCATAGAGGGAGACATGAACGTGGCTTTGTGAATGCCAAGGGCTCTGTGAGGCAGCTGCTGTATAACAGCTTCAGTAACTCTCCCCTCCTCAATCTCCCTGTTCCCCACAGGCTGGAGCTGTACCGCAAAGTCCACAATCTCCGGATTCTGGCATGCGGGGGAGATGGCACGGTGAGTCTCCAGCCCCTCCATCCCATGGTGCCCCTTTGCCCAGTCCTTTCCAGTGCAGACAGCAGCCCTCCTTGTAATCCAGAACAGGGCAAACTGCACTCTGCATCCATGCTACAGCTGGTAGCATAGATGCTGTGGGTCCCCTCATGCACTGTTCTAGGGAGTGCTAGTCTGTAACACGTCTGGATTTGTAGCCCTTTTGAGGGCCAGTGTCCTCACTGGGGCTACTGGTATCTCCTGCAGCACCTGATTAGAGCATTAAAAACTGTGAATAGCCTCAGGTGTGGCTAAGGATACCCCATCTCTGCCCCCTGCCATCACTAGTGCTCTGAGTCACCTCTGCCTGCCTGCTGGTCCCTGAGATAACTAATGTTTGCACTCTCTTGCTTGAGCAGGTGGGCTGGATACTCTCCATTCTGGACCAGTTACGCATCAACCCACCTCCTCCTGTGGCCATCCTACCTTTGGGGACAGGGAATGACTTGGCCAGAACACTGAACTGGGGTGGGGTGAGTGATGGGCACAAGAACCCACTGCTGACAGAGCAGGACTTAGTGGTTCAATCCTTGTTTCAGACACATGGTTGGAGATTTGCACAGGCTCGTGTTTCAACTTCCTGTAAATATAGACCAACAAATAAGTGCAATTGGGATGTTTCTGTTCTTCTGACATTTGAATGATTCTGCATTAAATTATACAAAAGCAATTGCCTTTTCAAATTTTGAAAATTTTTTTTAAAGGAAGATGTATTTTTTAAATTTCAAGTCCCATTTTGATGGGCATTTGAGTAGAGTTGATCTCTTCTACATCTTTTACTCTGAGATGCCTTACTGAAGCCTGCTGTCTTGGGTATATCTCTGTGGGAGGCAGGCATTAGACTCATCAAATACTTCTCTTCACCAGGGTTACACAGATGAGCCTCTGTCCAAGATCCTATCACACGTAGAAGATGGGAACATAGTGCAGCTTGATCGCTGGAACCTCCATGTGGAGCCAAACCCTGACACAAACCCTGAGGAAAAGGATGAGGCAGCTGCTGACAAGGTGAGGCACCTCCTCTCCATGTTCCCTGTGCTAGAGGTCTGCATTCTCTCTTCTGCCACTGGCTTAGGCAGCCCCAGCACCTGGGGCTAACATTCTTGGGTTGGTGTTTCCCTCTCATTCCTCCAATTCCACCATTCTATTCATGGTTCTGAGCCACAGCACTCATAGTAAGAGAGTATGCAGAGTTCATAACTAAATGCCTATCAAAGGTTTTTAACCACAACTTGCAACAGGTATAAGTCCAGTCTTCTGTGAGACTGTTTTCTTTAACAAAAACATGGGTGATTGCAGAAACCTCAGAAAGCAGAGTGTGTCCTCCTGGACCATTTCTCTTACCCCTAGGAGCCAGGAACTAATCCATCGTCTCAGGCTGGTGACCTCTGTATTTTCCTAGGGAAAAGGCAGGCAGGGTCCCCTCAGCCTCATGAGCACTGTAGTGGTGGCTCTGCTGTAACCTGACCTCATCTGTGCCATGGGCACATGCTGGCAGCCTCATCCTTATTCCTCCTTTCCATTTCAGCTCCCTTTGGATGTCTTTAATAACTACTTCAGCCTTGGCTTTGATGCACGGGTGACGCTGGAGTTCCACGAATCCCGAGGTACAGGGTGGTGGCAGGACTTGGTCAGGGTCTGTGGGATGGGCCTGTTCTTGTTTGTGGGTTCCTCAGGAAAGTGAACATGAAAATTGCTTCAAGGACAGAGCTGGAGGTGAAACATGAGCAGCAAGTCCAAGCTGCAGAGTGGGAAGAGGGGTGCTGCAAAGAAGAGAAGCTGGGGGTAGACCCCTGGCTGAGGCTGGCTGGAGAGCTGTGTATGAGGAGAACTGGCAAGTGAAATATTTCCATGTGTAGGCCAGTGACCTGGACGTTTTTCTCCTTTCCCTAGAGGCCAACCCAGAGAAGTTCAACAGCCGGTTTCGGAATAAAATGTTCTATGCTGGGGTGAGTGTGTGGGGGATATCTGAGCCTGCTGTTGTAGCAGCCTTAACATCAGCTGCAGCACAGTCATGTACCTGCCTCCTGTCTGCACCCTGAACTCACTCATTTAAGCTACATGGACCTTCACATGCACCCAAGCTAAGCCCCCAACCCTAAGCTGGAAAGTTGTTGGAGAAATGCTGCAGCTCTGGGAGTCGCAGCTCCCCTTTGGCTGTGAGTGCTGCTGGCAGTACAACTTGCTCCGTGGCCTGCAGTACAGTTGTTGTATTATCTCCTGCCACTATTGTTCTTGATCTCAAGCTCACGGGTGGTCACCCAGGCAGGACCTCCCTGGAGCTGTGGGAAGGCAGACTGTCCCTCCTGCAGAGGAAAAGGAAGCCTTTCCATAGTCTGCACACTACTTTGGTCTTTTTTTATATACCTTGGACCTGGTATATACCTTTATATACCTTTTTTTATATACCTTACACTTCCTGGCTAATTACACCAGCCTCCTGTGTCTCACCTCTAGAGCTTTGTGTCTCAGTATCATCTTTGTTCCTCTGTCTCCCGATCCTCAATATACTTTCTAGCCATGTGTCTGGTGAGTGGTATTCAAGCAGTGCTAAAGGCCGAATGCTGCTCTGTGCCATCTCACATCTGTTCTGCTTGTGTCTCTTTTGCTGACTGCACAGTTAAACCCAAAGGGGACCCATGCTGTCCCTCCTGGAATCTCTAGATGGAGTGACTTCAGCTGTTTTGTGGTACTTCATTACAGCTTGAGACTAAATTTGTCTCTTGTTACATGATTCTCACTGGAGGAGACTCATCTTACCAGCTTTTCTCTGAAGTCAGGACTGGGCTGGCAAGGGAATACTAGAGCATGTTAGTAAAGGTGCCTCAAGGTTTTTGGTGGGCAAAATAGCAAGAGAAATGGATCAGGTTGTTTTGGAGGAGAAGAGGACTTCTGATGGTGGATGAAAAGGGGGTTTGCAGGTTTGAGCAGCTGAGGTCTGTGACAGGTCAGTGGCAGGCTGAGTTGCAGGTCAGTGGCAGACTTCCTGGCTGCCCATTCTGGTGAACACCTGGGCACTAACTCTGTCTCTTACCTTGGCAGACGGCCTTCTCCGATTTCCTCACCGGGAGTTCCAAAGACTTGGCGAAGCATGTCAGGCTGGTTGTGAGTGTGCTGGGGTGCTTTGGTCCAGGGAGGGGGTGAGCTGTGGAGGTGTGAGGAATGTCCCTTGGTACACTGAGTATGTCAGGGCTGGGGAGCAGATGGGGAGCTTCCTGGGAGCATTAGCTTCCCCTGACTTGGAGAACATCCACTAGGGAGCAGAGGAGGGATACTATTTCTTCCTAAGTGGGTAGGATGGACCAGGCTCCCCCTTACAGCAGCCTGAATACCCCTGTGTTGTCTCTAGTGTGATGGGACAGACCTGACCTCCAAGATTCAGGACCTGAAGCCCCAGTGCCTGGTCTTCCTTAACATCCCAAGGTGAGCACCCCCAGGACCTGTCTTCATGTGCTGGGCTTTTCACACCTGTGCTGTAGATCCCTGCCTGGGTTTGGGGTGTCAGTCCAGGCATTTCTTGTTGTCCTTTCACAGGTACTGTGCAGGCACCATGCCCTGGGGCAACCCTGGGGAGCACCATGACTTTGAGCCCCAGCGCCATGATGATGGCTGCATTGAAGTTATTGGCTTCACCATGACATCGCTGGTGAGTCAGTGCTGTTACCAGTTGTAGGTAGAAACCAGGGGAGTGAATGGTCCCATTGACCAGGTGTCAGCCAGCCTACAGCTCTGCAGGTCCTCTCTGGAGGAGTTGTGGTGCTGACCTATATGACAGTGTCTGCTCTCTAAGATTTAGGTGAGGTGCTGCTGTCATGCCCTGGTCTCTGTGTCTTCCTTCTCACTGAAATCAAACCTAAGACCCTCAGAACTTGGTTCACTTGTAACATCCAGATGACAGTGGATGTTCCCCTCATCCACATCTCAGTCCATGTTCTGCTCTCACTCTGGACCCTTTTACAGGCTGCCTTGCAAGTTGGTGGCCATGGGGAGCGGCTCTGTCAGTGCCGGCAGGTGGTTCTCACCACATCGAAGGCCATCCCCATGCAGGTGGATGGAGAGCCCTGCAAGCTGGCAGCTTCCTGCATCCACATTTCTCTGCGCAACCAAGCCAACATGGTGCAGAAGACCAAGCGGCGCAACTCCATGCCTCTGCTCAATGAGTAGGTTCCTCAGACTGATCTGCCACCTCCTCTTCAAGGAAGGATGGTTGGCAGGGAAAGGGACAGGACTGATCCGCCACTGACAGAGGCATTTCAGTCCTTTCTTGGGTAAGGTCTGGGAAGGGATCAGGTCACAGAAATAAGGCCAGACCCTGATGCTAGAGAAGCTGCTGGTGCCAAGGTCCCCACCCCAGTTTATACAATATTCTTGCCTGTTTTGGAAGGATTAGGGGAATAAGGAGAAAGCACGGTGTCACTTTATATCTTCCTTTTTCCTTACCCCCTGCACACAGCCAGCAGCCAGTGCCTGAGCGGCTGCGGATCCGGGTGAGCCGAATCAGCATGCGTGACTATGAGGCACTGAACTATGACAAGGAAAAGCTCAAGGAAGCCTGTGAGTGACCAGGGGTGGGAGCTGCAGTCCCCATGTCTGGCAAAGCCTGTAGCTAAACTGTGTGAGGTGTTGGGAATGCTGCTCCCTGAGTTGAGCCTATGTCCTGTCCTGCAGCTGTGCCACTGGGTATCATCGTGGTTCCAGGAGACAGTGACCTGGAGTTGTGCCGAACCCAGATTGAGAAGCTGCAGGAGGTGAGTCTGCGTGAAAAGTGGTCATAGCTGAATACTGAGGATGAAGGGACTCAGGGAAAGGATTTCTAAGCCACCTTGACCTGCACACACTACCGCACACACTCTTGCTTTGGGTCATGCTAAGAGGTCATGGTTTGCCTTTACCATGTGGTGGAGGCAGGGTCCCATGCTGGATGCGTTGTTGCTCCCTGCTGTCTGGCAGCTTCTTTTTCACCATTACTCTTCTGACTGTTCTCCAAGCCCAAAAAGAGACCCTGAAAAACTACAGGGTGGTATAAAAAGCCAGCACACATCCTGTGGGGGCTTATAACCATTCAACCATCCACAGGCTCTGGGTTTCCTGTCACAGCTCTGCCTTCTCCAGATGCCTGGATTAGGTTTATACCACTCCCACTCTTCTCATTTGCAAGCACTAATTTTGTGTCCTTGCCAATGTACTAGCATGTGTCTGTGACCTGTACACAGATTGTATTACTCTTGCTCCTGGTGAACAATGCCTTCCGAACCCATAGTGTGGCTCCTGGTGCTGCACTGCTCAATCTGATTGTTGCACAGAAGATTGAAGGGACCTTTCTTAGTCTGCTGCTATCTGGCTCTTGTGCCTGTGGGAACCCCATCCAGTGTATGTGTAGAGCCCCTCAGAGCTGAGTTGCAGAGCTGCTTGCCTGGGCTGGCACACTGGCATCTGCCTCTTGCTGTGCCTACTGTGTATGCGTGTCCCCTGCCCGCTTTGTGCCCAGACACTGGTGAGGACACACAGGCAGGCACATGGCTAGCAGCTCCTGGGTTCACAGGGTAATGCTCTCCTGCTGCATCAGTGTGGTAGATGAATGCCCCTGCAATCTCCTGCACCTTTAAAAATGTGCAGTGTGGCTGGTGTTTCTTGGTTACCTTATAGTTTACCTCTTCTCACTCCTTGGGCAAGCTCTGTGCTCTGACCTTAAAGCCAGGCAAGGACCAGGTACCTCGGCCAGACAGTGTGTAAAGCCAGATATGGCAGCACACATCAAGCAACTCCAATGGGATGAGAGAGGGACTGGGGGGCTGCTCAGACACAGGCTGTAACAGGACACCTTGCCTTTCTGCAGGATTTCCCTGCGCAGCCCTCTGCTTTAGAGCGCCTGTTCTTTCAGGTGTGTATGGCCTCTCTCTGTCCTCTGGGCCCATCTGTCATATCCACTGTGCCAGTCTCCTGGGCTCATCTTGTGACACTGCTCTACAGTCAGCTCCAGTCTGCCCCATGGTGCTCTCTGCTGCAGTGTGCTGTGCCTGTGTTCAATTTCATACAAGTACCTGTGGTCCTCTATGTCTGCATGGACCTCCCAAAGCAGGAGCAATGCTCTGAAGAGAGATGCAGAGACCATAAACTACATCTTTATCCTCTCTTTTATTATGCAGGAGGGAGATGGAGCCAAGCCGAAGACACTGTCATTCCAGAAGCTGTCACCCAAGTGGTGCTTTCTGGACTGTGAGTATCACCCTCCCCTAAGAGCATTGACTGGGTTTGATGATGGGCTAGCAAGGTCCTCTGGTCTGTCAGCTCAGTGAAGGTAGGGGATGGAGATCCACATGGCTGCAAAGTTCCAAGTGTTATCAGCGCCTTAGAAACCACAGAAGCACCTGAGAATTAGGGCGTAGGAATTACAGCTCCTATGCCCAAAAAAAGTGAAGGAATCAGTAGCCCAACTGAAGTGCATTGACACCAATGCATGCAGCATGAGCTACAGACAGGAGCCAAAAGATATGGCAGAGCAAGAAAACTATGACATAGTTGCCATCACAGAGACATGGTGGGACAAGTCACACAACTAGGATGCTGCAATGGATGGCTCTGAACTCTTCAGAGGGGACAGGCAAGGAAGAAGATCAAGCTGATCTCTTCCTATGTCAAGATGACCTGCTCAGTGGTCATCTTGAGTGAAAAGCTGTGGATGTTGTCCACCTGAAGTTCAGTAAAATGTTTGACACTGTTTCCCGCAGCATTCTCCTGGGGAAACTGGCTGCTCATGGCTCGCCTGAGTTCACTGTTCACTGGACAGAAAACCAGTTGGATGGCTGGGCCCAGAGAATGGCGTGCCTGGAGTTATATCCAGCTGACAGCCGGTCACCATTGGTCATCCCCAGGGCTCAGTATTGGCCTGGTCCTGTTTATTGTCCTTATCAGGCTGATGAGATCAAGCACACCTCAGTCACTTGCAGATAAGTTGAGTGGGAGTGTTGATCTCTGTAGAGGGATCTGGACAGGCTCATCATGGGCCAAGGCCAATTGTATGAGGTTCAAAAAAGTAAATGTCCTGTCCTTGGGTCATAACCACCCCATGCAGTGTTGCAGGCTGGAGGAAGAGGGGCTGGAAAGCTGCACAGCAGAAAAGGACCTGGAAGTACTTATCAACGGCAGCTGAATATGATTCAGTGTGTGTGTGTGCCTGTCAGGATCTGATTACTAAGATTCTTAGGAATGCCCCTGCCCAAATTAAGGTGCAAATGAGACCATATGTCAGTAGTATGGGTTTTATTTGACAGTAAATATGAGAGAGAGAGACAGAGACAAATAGAAAACAGATGGGAGGGACAGAAAGAGAGTAACAGGGACAGAACAAGGAAAAGTATCACACTCCGTGGATCCCAGTGATGCTCCACTGGTTCTCTCCAGCTGGTCTTCTTGGTGGTGAAGGTCCCCCTGAAAATAATAGAATCTGATGGGTTGATATACGCTCAGGCCAGGTAGGAACATCCAAGCAGCTCCCCGGGGTAGGGGGTGAGTTTGCCATTGTCTCTTCCACATTTGTTGCATTACATGCAGTCCTGTGGTGCAAGGCCTCAGGAATGACTATGGGTGTACCTCGGGAGGTTTTGATGGATTAGTGCACCCCTTCAGCTGCCCTGACATGAAAGTCCTGTGGATGTGGCCGTCCCAGGGTTAGGAGTTCCATAGCCAGTTTGTGCAAGGGAGGATAGGTTCACAGCCCAAAAGCAGAGGTTACAACACACCAAAACTTTTTCCCCGCACCTCAGTTGGGGGGGGAGCAAATCTGTGCAAACCTGCTCCTAGCAAATTTGTCTGTGGGCTACGGCGTCCCCCATCCCAAAGCAAGCCAAAGATGATTCTTAGCATGACTGCTGGGTTTGGCTCACATTCTTGTCCTTGTTTACTTGTTTGTTTCAGGTGATTGAAGAATGGGTTTTCCCTTTATTTAATTTCAACAGTTTGACTTTCAGTCCAAAGTCCCAGTCAGGTATCTTCAAAGAGGCTTCTTCGGTTGTAGCATTTTTATACAGTTTTCATATAGTTACAATGAGTAAAACTTTATACCATTGTTTGAGGCATGAACTATTTCAGTCTCTGACAGTGTCCAGGTGGCCAAGAAGGCCAATGGCCTCCTGGCCTGGATCAAGAAAAGTGTAGCCAGCAGGACCAGGGCAGTGATTGTCTCCCTGTACTCAGTGCTGGTGAGGACACACCAGGAATCTTGCATCCAGCTTTGGGTTCCTCACTGCAAGAAAGACATCGAGGTACTGGAGCATGTGCAGAAAGGGGCAATGGAGCTGGTGAAGGGTCTGGAGCACAAATATTGGGAGGTGTAGCTGAGGAAGCTGGGGTTGGTTAGCCTGGAGAAAAGGAGGCTGAGGGGACACCTTATCACTCTCTACAACTGCTTGGAAGAAGGTTGTGTCAAATTGTGTTGGTCTCTTCTCCCAAGTAACAAGCAAGAGGATGAAGGGAAATGAATGACCTCAAGTTGCATCAGGGAGGCTTTTTTTCCCACTGAAAGGGGGATCAAGCCTTGGAACAGGCTGCCCAGGGAAGTGGATGAGTCCCCATCCCTAAAGATACTTAAAAGATGTGTAGATGTGGCACATAGGGATGTGGTTTAGGAATGGACTTGGCAGGGTTGGTTTAATGGTTGGACTCAAATGACCTTAAGGGTCTTTTCCAACTTAAGCAATTTTTTTCGATCATTCTGTGATTCTGTGAATTTGGGGGGTGAGAGAACAGACATTCAGTGACAAGCAAGAGGGAACCATGAGGCCTGGGACTCGCGGATGTTTGGGTCTTTGGGGCTGAGCAGAGCAGTGCTTTCCCCCAGGCTGCATGTCTGACTGCTGACCCGGAGTGGAGCAAAGGGAGTCTGTGGTTCTCTTGCCCTGGAGCTGAAGGCAGCTTGGTGGCATGCGTTTGTCACTGCGGGACTGCTGGGGATGCTCTCCTGTGCTGTGCAGGCAGGGGGCCCCCCTGCTCCAGCATGCTCGGGCTCACCGTGAGCATAGCAGTGTTATGGGAGAGCAGCCTCACTGCTAGGCTCCAGCTGCTGCTTCTCCCCTGCCTGAAAGTTGTTTTGTCTTCTCCCTTTGCATTATCTGACCAAGAACCTCCCTCCGTACCTGGAAGCTGGCTGAGTGAAATGCCCACTGGTAGCATTTCATCTCTCTGATAGCCCAGCAAGCAGCAAGTAGACCACAGCAGAGCACAGCCATGGGTTACAAAGTGGGCCTGGGAAGCTTCGTGCTAGGCAGACAGGGTGCAACTTCTCCCTTCAAGGTTCCAGCCCTGCTGGTGCTGCTGCTCCCAGGTGTCACTACCAGGATTGCTATACCAGAGCCACTTTCCCTTCTGCCAGTCTCCCAGCAGCAGGTTCTGGGCTCAGGAAAATGTTTCAGGAAAGAGATTAGAGTCTCATTCAATACAGCACAGGTTCATTCAGGTAGCTGAATTATAGGCTTTGAACGGTAGCTCCCTGGATGCAAATACCAGGATAAACATGGCTCTTTCACTCCTCTCATCTGCTCTAGCACATCCCAACTCTGTTTGCAGAGAGACTTCCTTGGGTCTGCAAGGATCCCACTGCAGCAACCTCTCCTGGACTGGCACCAGCAGCCTGTCAGGATATTGGGGAAATGATTCCCTGCATAGGAATCCAGCTGTGCTGTCACTGTGCTCTTACCTTTTCTGGTCTCCTTTGGTGATGCCCTAAATCCGTAACCCATCTCTGCTCTCCTGGGGATGCCAGCTGTGTGTGTCTGGCTCCAGCATAGCCACTTGCTCTGTTGGAGCTCCTCTCTCTCTGTGGTGATCTCTTCTCTAAGGAAGAGGGATGCACTCAGGCTGGAGGCTGATTTGAAGCTCTCCTGCTATCCTAAGAGACAGGGACTTGGATCTACAGCTGGTGTTGCTTGGATCTACAGCTGCATGCTCTGTTGTGCCTAGCAGTGACATGCCTCATGAAGGTCCTTAGTCAAGTCAGTAGGGGGCTGAACCCTCTCTTCTCCCAGCCTCCTGTAGTGTCCCCATTTCTGTGTCCCCAGCACTGTTCAACAAGGTGCACCATGTTTGTCACAGCAGTTCCTCACGTGGTATAAGTGAATGCTGAGGTGTGCGCTGCACATCCCTGAGCTTCATCTGCTTGGGATAATGCTGAAGCTCCTGAAAGCCTCCAGACAGGCTATGGCATCAGCTAGTTGTGTTCTTGCCTTACCTGTGGCTCCCTGCCAGGAGTCATTGAGGAGGAGGTAGTAAGCAAAGTGGCTGGATAGCTTGCTGTCACTCATGTTGGGAAGAGGCCATCTCCTTGTCTCACACCAAGGATCAGCCCATCTTGTTCTGTTCCTGTCTTACAGCAACCACGGCCGATCGGTTCTACAGGATAGACCGTGCACAGGTGAGTGCAGCCTCATCCTGCACCATCAGCTCCTGGGAAGTGCTTGGGTGTCCCACCTGCACGCAGACCAACAGGCAGGCATAGCCTTAGGGCCACACAGGTCTCATACCACTGCCCTGGCCTTTGGCATCACGAGCCTGGCCCAGGACCAGGCTCGGCACCTCCAGGTTTCTAGAGAAAAGGGAAGAAGCCTGGGTGGTAGCATAGAACCTTGGTTGAAAGCTGCCTGCAGGGCTCTCCAGTGGGTAAGGAATAGCAAACATAGGAAGACTGGCTGGGGACCCGCCAGCTGAGATCATCTTCACCAGCACTAGATACTTTCCCTAATGATCTGGGGAGGGGGAACATGGAGATAAGGTTTACAGGGTTGCTAAGACAGCAGGAGACAGGAAACCTGAAAAGACCAAGGAGATGCAAAGGCACAAGACTCTTCAAGCCACCATTGCTCTGTCGTGCAAATGGGTGGGCCACAAACCATTGGGATATGAGGGGATGTAGTCTTGCAGAAGTTGCTTCTGAGAAAGCATGTCCTGACTTGTGTCTTTCAGGAACACCTCAACTATGTGACAGAGATCTCTCAGGATGAGCTCTATGTGCTGGACCCAGAGCTAGTGGTCACTCAGACTGTGAGCACTTCTCCTGCCATGCCTGACCTCGTGGACTCATCTGCCACATCCCCTGGACACCATTTTGCATTTCCTTCCTGTCCTTCCTCTCCACCCTCCTCTCCTGCCCCCAGGTGAGTCTGAAATGAGGGTGCTGGGCCTCAGGAACAATGGGCAGTGACGGGAGAGCTAGCCAACCCTGGGCCAGATTACAGGGGAGCTCCCTGGAAGTAAGCAGGAATTCAGTGTTGAGTAAGACCAAGGGATGAGATGCCATCCTGTTTTCCCTATTCCTCTCCCAGTGCTGCCCTAGGTAATGGGGCATCACCAGGTGGCTCAGCCATGGGGTCAAGCTCCAGCACCTGGCCTGTGGGGCAGAGGACAAGGGTTTCTTTCAGCCAAACTAAGGCCAGTGATGAGTATGGTGCCAGGAGTAGCAGTAGAAATGGGAGTGGGGATGGGGAGGAACCCAGATCAGGAAAGAAGGAGTGCCACGGGCAGGTTCTCCATCCCTCTACTGGTGGCATGCACATTAGGGCCAGGACTGGCAGGGTAAGTTACACTTTCTCTTCTTCCCTTCCAGTGCTGAGCCTGAGCGCTGCCTCCCACATAAAGGTGAGTGGAGTCCTACCCCTGGTCATACCTATCCCTCTCAGGCTGCGCTCTTGTTTTCCTGCCCATGGGGTTTTTTGGCCTATCCTTTCCCTGGTGAGCAGGGAGGAGCCCTGTTGTTCCATGTGTTCTGAAACATGGAGCCCTGTGGGCAGGCGACCCAGAGGTGAGCACAACAGACCTGACAGTGATTTGTGGAGTGGCCCAGCCAGGCGCCTTCCCAGCTCCAGCATGCGGGAAATTATGTGGCAAGGGGTTAATCCCCCACCTGCAGAACTGAGAGTTGTGAACTGGGTTGGGAGGCTGTCTCTGCCTCTCCCTGGGGAGGTGGGAGCGCTAGATCAGGGGCCTCACCAAGCTGAACAAATGGAAAGAGTTTCCTGAAGCTTGATTGGAGCCTGGAGGTGTGAGTGAGTCATTGGTGAGAGGCATCTTGGCTGCTGGCTGATGCTCAGGAGACCCGCTCCCCATTTTCATCATAAGTTATCCTGCCCAAGGGCAGAGACTACTCCCCCTGCACCTCCCTAGGGCTGAGATCTGGCTGCAGCCCTTAGCTACATGGTGTCTCTTTCCTTTCCCTGGTTTGTCCCTTGCATTCCCGAAGGTGGAGAAGCCATGTACATGCAGTCTGACCAAGAGGTTAATCCCTGGAGGAGCTTGTGCTCCTGCTCCACACCTCTGGTGCCCAGCTCTTGTCTCCAGGATTAGATAAGCAGTGTTGCAGATTGACTTTTCTGACCCTGATGTGTCTCTCTTTGCAGATGACCTTCTGATAGAAGCTGCCAAGAAGGGCAACTTCAGCAAGGTAGGTGCTCCGGCAGCCTGCTGCAATGAGCAGCCAAGGCTGGCTCCTGGGCTGGTGTGCCCCTTGGGCTAAGGGGAGCCCTGCCAGCCATACTCCCCAGTTGCCCTGGAGCAGCACTGTCAAGGGCCTTCCTTAGGAGTGGTGGCTAGAAACCAGGCAGGCTTCTGCCACGAGCCCTGGTTCGTCTCCTGGGAGACACAAAGGGAAGGGAAGGGACTTGGTAACATGGCTGAGCTGGACAAAGCTCCCCACCAGCACCAAATATCCACACAACCTGTCAGACACTCCAGGTACATAATTCTGGGGCTTAGAGCTGGAAAATGCAACTCATCCTGAGCAATCTGACAATCCTGTAGTTTCAAGAGCTGCACCGAGCTGGAAAAGACCTGATGGTGCGAGATTCCTCGGGCCAGACCGTCCTCCACCATGCTGTCAAATCAGGAAGCAAGGACATCGTCAAATACATCATTGAGAATGGTGAGCTGGAGTCAGAGTGCCACTCTTAGCAAAGGAGCCTGGCAGCCAAAAGAAATCAACCCTCTGCTCAGAGGGAGTGCTCCTGGGCTTAGATCCCTCTGGGTTTGCTACATCATCCTTTTGGTGTATGAACTTTTCCTGGCATCTGTCTGCCAGTACTGGGGTGTCCTCATGGCTATTGCTGCATCCTGGCAGGGATCAGTATGCCTCTGGGAAACTGCTCAGTGTCTTGCGTCTGCCTTCAGGGCAGCTGACCTGTTGTTTTTGGCAGTTACCACTGAAATACAGACAGCTTTATTTTTATTTAGATATTTCTCTATAGTGAGTCCACAACCAGTTCTTCTTTGCTGGGATCATCTGGGCTCAGATGTAATTGCTGACCTGACTTTTTTGGAGCTAGGACTTTTTCAGGCAGCATGAGAATAGCAGCCCCTATGGAATGATGCAGACTGTGACCAGGGAGTAGGCAGGTCTGTCTCTGCCCCAGAGCCAGGTCTCACTCACCTGCACTCTTTCTTTCCACAGCTCCTTCAGAAATCCTTGATGTCACAGAGGAGGAGAAGTAAGTCGCTGCCTGACTTGCATTACCTGTTGGCCAGACCCTCTGTGAAGTGACCAGTTATAGGGGCACTTCAGCTGCCTTTGTTCTAATTGCCAGCCATGATTCCCAGTCAATTTTGGACAGACTGCCCCTGAGTAGCACTCCCTCCTCTGCCTGCACAAACACACAATCAGCTCCTGCTGCTGCTGAATTGCTGTCCCTTGCTGCCACCTGCATGTGCTGATTGTCCCTGTTCAGAGGGACATCTCACATCTCCTGCTTTCTCCTCCTCAGCGGTGAAACCAGCTTGCACCAGGCTGCAGCCTTACGCCAGCGCACTATCTGCCACTACATCGTGGAGGCTGGGGCCTCGCTCATGAAGACAGACCTGCAGGTGACAGCGGGAACGGTGGCAGTGGGACTTTCTGGGGCGACCAGAGGGCTGGCAAGGAGTAGAACCAGCAGGAGAGCAGAGCAGTGGTGCTTTGGGTGAGGTGTTTGCCAGTCAGAGAGGAGGTGACATGGAGTACTCATGCTTGCCCAGTAGAGCCCAGCTACAGAGGGGTTAAATCCCTCTTCTCCTGGCGCTTCTCTCCCTGTTGTTTTATTAAATTAGAAGCAAGGGGCTGGAATGTCTCATCCCTGTCTCCCCCTTCCCACCCTCAGGGGTCAGAGCAAGGACATTCTCCCTGAAAGCTCCCTCCCAGCTGCAGGACTCCTCTGCTCTCCCCCACTGGCAGTCATGGTGGGGGATCTGGGAGCTCCTCTTGTCGGGTGAAGCTGGCCTGCTGGGAGCAGGAGCAAGCAGTGGCAGCACTTCCTCTCACATGCCGAGTTAATTGAGCTGTGCCTTAGTGTCAGGGAATTGTGCCAGCTCTGGCAGAAGAGATGCAAAAGGGGAGGGCTCCGGGCCATATTTTGGTACAGGAGGTTCCCAGGGCTGGCATATGGCAGAGAGGATGTGGTTAGATCTCTCTGGTGGAGGCTTGTAGTGATGGGCTGTAGCAGAGGTGATGTAGAACAAGCCAAGAAGGTGCAATCTGTGGGTCTGGGACACCCGTTAGGAGTCCATTTGGGGGGTGCTGGTGATGGTGGAGCTTGGGTTCAATTTAGACAATGCATATCCCTGTTAGGCAGCTGCCAGGAGAATGCAGTACAGATAATCTCTGGCTCCCCATCTCTCTTCCTTGGTCTTGTCTAAGGCTTAGGCCTTGCACAGTGCCCAGAGTGGGGCTGGCCTGAATGGAGAGTCAGCTGGCAGAGGCAAAAGGCATGGCCCCTCTCTGTCCCCAGCCCCCTCATTTACTTGAAGGAGAGGAACAGCCCCCAGCCTGCCAGCACAAAAAGGAACCTTGCTCAGGCATGTGGCTACCCCAGGGAATCGGTTTGCACGTGCCTGTGCAAAAGCATGTCGCATGTTGGGTTTGTGGCTGCCTGGGGACCCCGCTGTGCTGCTGACTGACCTCTCAGGGGCTCCGGGTCACAGCCTGCCTGCACAGGCAGGATCCACCTCATTAGAAACCCCAGACCTGTAGCACAGGTTTGGAGCAGACTGATCCCACTCCCTGCCTTGGTGAGGGAGGCTGAGCCTTATCAGTTGGAGCGCCTCAGCCCAGCTGGGCAGGGAGGCCCTGGCAGCTCCGGTTTCAGGCTGCAGGCAGGAGTGATGCAGAGGGGCTTCTGCAGGGGAACAGGAAAGAAGCTTAATTCCTCTTCTGTTAAATGAGTGATTGCATTCAGGGGATGTGGGGAGGAGGCCATCAAGGAGAGCCAGCACCAAAGCACAGAGTAGTTGGGCTCTGTCCTCTGATGGTGTGGCTGCTGGGGGTTGTGTGGAGGACCATGAGGTGTGCTCAGTCATGGGGTGCACATCCCAAGGAGATTTCTTGCTGCGTGATACCTCTCTGCAGCCACACATGGATGGGCTTTTGTGCACAGCCACACCGAGGCCCAACAGAGGCTGCATGTCTGACCATTGTTTCTGATGGAGAAATATAGCTGTGGGCTGCTCTCGAGGCCTCAGCACACTGCTGCAGCTGCCTGTGCCCTGCTGTGCACCAGGGGATGAGCCGGGCAGGATGGGTTGCCCTTCCAGGGCTGGTTTTCAATGAGAATGGCAGAGCCAGGTTTCTGTGGTCTTTCTCAGTGGCACAGCAGAGCCTGAGCACTTGGAGAGGTGGAGCAAGGAGCAGGGGGAGGGAAGGGGGAGAGGAGACAGAGCTGGGAGCTGTTAACAGATTTGCTTTTTATGGAGTGTGGGAGTTCATTAGTGGACACAATCCAGATGGCTGCAATAAGCTGGTGAAATGTGATCCTCCTCCGGGACCTGGAGTGCTAGCCAGGCTGTGCGAGGGGAGGGGGGTTGGTATGCTTGGGCATTCCCCAGACATACCCCTCATTCCTCACCCTTTCCCGCCTGCCTCCCCAGCACAGGGGAAGAGCAGGTCAGGGGGACCAGCCTTTGTCTCTTCTTGGGTGACTTGTGTTGCCCAGAGTCAGTCATGTCCTAGCCCATGCCTGGAGCTGATGACTGTTTGGGGGACAGCTCCCAGGCCTGCAGCAGTCAGGCTCCTCAGGAGCACACTTTGATCCCATGGTGAGCAAATGGGCATTTGGCTTCCGCCTGACTTGGGATTTGACTGCAGGCTCTGCTGGACCCAGCCACATGGGAAAATGGGGACGTCTTTGGGTGCCAAAACAGCATTTAGACAGCGTTCAGCGCTCTTGACATCTTGTCTCCCCCGCACAGGGAGACACCCCGAAACATCGTGCTGAGAAAGCCAATGACCCCGACTTAGCTGCCTACCTCGAGAACCTACAGCACTACCAGATGATCCAGAGGGAGGACCAGGAGACAGCTGTGTAGTGCTTGGCATGCCTTAGCCGGAGCCCACTCATGCAGGATAAGAGTACAATGCCAACTGGCAGAGCTGTATCTGGCCCGACCCTCCCCAGATGCCAACCTGGTCCCTGGAGATGGATACAGAAGAGCTCTGCCCCAGGCTGGGCTGGAACTCTGATTATGAGGACAATGGATATTTCAGACTTGAAGCCTGATTCTTTGTGTGTCTACCCCTTCACCTTTCATTCACCACGTTCCCTGCCCTAGGTGGGCTCTATCCCCAGCTATGCTGGAGCAGGTCAGGCTGAAGCCCCCAGTCACCCATGTTCGTGGGAGCAATGCCAGTGCCTCCTCCACAGGTTCCTACCTATAATCCTTGTGGGATATCATTGCTCAGCCCCTCTCTCTGCTGGCAGTGCTCCTCTTTTAGGTGCTTGGCTAGGTTTGTGTCCTGTTCCTCCTCTCCTGTCTGGCACAGCTGTGGGAGGCACAGGCTGCATGGACAGACTGCAGAGGCTGTGAGTCGCAGACGGCTCCAAAGGAAGCACCACAACTTACTGGCCCTGCCTTCTTCTCCCTCCTGGGGCTGCACCAGATCTCTGTGTTGCCCTATCCAGAGCCTTCTGCAGCAGGAGGGAAGTCACTTTTGCATCCAGCCTTTCCTCAGAGCATCTGGGTCTGGTGCAGCTTGAAGTAGGGCAGCAGGTGCTGTCCTGATGGGCCTTTAGTGCTCAGTCAGCAGTCTGACTCAGGGCCGGGATGCCATGGAGGAAGGCTACCAAACCCACCACGCTTCTCTCCATGGGGCTGGGTGGAACAGTTTGCACATCCACTCTGCTGAGCGTCTCTTTGTGAGCCTGCTGCAGGATGGTGGAGAGCTGCACTCAACTGGTGCAGTGGCAGCAGTGACACCTGTTATATTTCCCAAATGCTGACTTAGATTCAGCTGCCCTCCTTGCTTCAGTTTCCCCAGCAATGCTAGACTTGGCACAGGGCTGGATGGGCAGTGCTGGGGTCAGTGCTGCTCTCAGGGATCCCCTCCTTCCCCCCAGCCTGGCAACATGCATCCTCTTAGGCTGAGACTCCTGGTATTCCCCAAACTGGGCACGTGGCTTTGCAGGAAGCTCACACAGCTGAGACACAGCCTGTTTGGGCAGACCATGAACTCACCCTCTCCAGTTTTAATAGAAAGAGGGATTTGGATTCCCAGGAACCATCAGGGCTCCTAGCCCTGGGTCATGCCTGCAGTGGGAAGGAATTTCACCAACCACCTGCCATGGGGCATGAGGCACCACAGTCTATCTCCCCTGTTGTTGCTGTGAGTGTTTGATGCCAAGACATCAAGCCAGGCCTTTTAAAGAGCATCAAGCAATGCTTTTGCAGAACTGAGTCTCTAAGACCAGGAGGTGGTGCCCACAGAGGAGGAAATCTGATGGCTCTGAGCCTAGCAGACCTGCTTGGCACTCTTGGGTGTGCAGTGGTCGTGAAGGGGGTTGCTGTTCACATCTTGGCTCTAGGAGAGGATACTACTGCTGCCTTGAGTGGTCTGTGCAGTCCCTCTGCACTCACACGCAGGCTGTGCCCACTGGGTAGTGCTGGGGTGGCACCGTTTGAATCCCTCCTACTACCAAGAAAAGGGTATGAGGATACTGTAGGGAACCAGAATACCCTTCAGACTTTTTGCCCAGGGGCAGGGTTTCCCTGAAGGATGGGGAATGCTGTACTAGGGAACGGAGGCGCAGGGCAGTGCAGGGTGCCCAGGGACCACTGTCAGTATTGGCAAATAATAATGATAGTGTACTAATGCATTGACATCTAGGACACTCCAGAAGTGCCTAGAGTTCTTATCAGCACTGCTGGCAGGCCACTGATAAACAAGGCACTGTCATCTTCTCAGAGGTCCATACCACTGCTGCCCCAGGTGGGATGCCCAACTTGGCCCAGAGGCATTTAAAGCCTCAGCTTTCCCCTTTCTCCCTTATAGTTTTTGTACAGGTAGTTGAGAGACACACTGTCCCCCTCCCTGCCTGGCCCCTCCGTGCACCTGTGAGCTGAGTTGCTGTGCAATTCCAAGTCTGCTTATATTTTGGTGAAGAAGGAGGAGGTGTTGGTTACCCTGTCCCCCTGAGGGCAGGGGTTCTGTGCAATACCTGGGTCTGTGTGTCTTAGACACTGTCGTAGGATTGTATTTTTGTAACTATGTGAGGGTGCTGGCTCCAGCCAGCCCAGGGCCTGGCACGAGCCTGTGTTCCCATTGCTTTTCAACTTTGACTGTTTGGATGTTTTTGTTTCTTGCCATTGAAATAAAGAGATTGATGTTTTAGTTCCTGTCTCCTGTTGCATCCACAAGATTGCAGTGGCAACGGATGCCCTGCATGGCACAAACAATGTTGGATCCCAAGGCCTCTGCCCCTGTCCAGACTTGGGGGTATTTTTGGGAGTTCCCTGCTGGCCAACGTCCTTGTTTACTTCCTAGCACAGCATCCTTCTGAGACTGTTGCTAGATACAGGGTCTTTGTCCTGAGGGATCTTCTCCATTCTGCGTCATACATCAACGCGCAGTGTAATTTGGGAAAGGGAGAAAGTGCGCTGCCTTCCCAAGTGATCCAGGAGGCCTTGGAAGCATGAGTCAGCAGCCTGCTATTCCTCCTTGGGGCAAAGGCAGCAGCCCCAGCAGCTGCCGCAGCTGTCAGTGGAAACTAGAGCAGCATCCAGCCTCCAGTTTCAAAACATTTGTTGGCCTTTTTTTGTGGTGAGCTGTCCCCAGCCATGCTGCTCTGTGGGAGATAAGCCTGCCAGGGGCTCTTGCTTTTCATTTCCAGCTCCAGCAGGGAGTCTTGGGCTTCTGCCTCCAGTGCTGAGCACTGAGCAGGAATTATCTCTGCCACTCTGGTGGAAGGACCACTCTCTGATTACAAAAGCAGAGGATTAGGGACACTTCTGCTTCCAGGCCTCAGACGCATAAGGATGACTGTGGCCAGTACTTCTGTCTTGTTGGAGTTTTCTTTGTAAAAGGAGGTAATTGCAGTGGCTGATGGCATGCTGGTGATGGAGCCAGTGGGTGATGAGGAGCTATACTCAGACTTGTATTTCTAGGAGCAGTTTGGCAGCCTGCCTAGTGCTCCTGCCAGCCCTTCTCTGCCCGGAGAAGCAGTCTCCTTCCCTGCCTACATTGTCCCTTCCACCCCCTCTGTGCCTCCCTTTCATGGTCTTCAAACTTCAGCTCCTGCCCAGAGCTAACAGCGAGGATCTCCAGCAGGCGTAAGGCACACCAAATTGTCCTGGCCTCCCCAGGGACCAGGTGTACGTGCAACTGGGAGGAGGGGGCCGCTCTGCTTCAGTGCCCAGACCCCAGCATGCTGGCACTTGGCCCACATCTCAGCAGGGAGGCTGTCAGTAACCATGGCAATTGGAGTCTTCCTGCTGCCCCAGTGTCAAACAGCCAGTGGGGAAGAAAAGCAGTCCTGCTATGTGATCACTCTGATGAGGAGTGTTGAAGAGGGGCAGTGTACCTTTGGGGCAGAGTCCTGCCCTTCTCTCCGAAGGGTGTCGACGTCCCCTCTTTCTCCTTTTTAGTCAGGTGCTGGAGGTTCAGAGGTCTGTCTGCCCTCCTGTGGGATGGAAGCACACCTGGGGTGTAGGCACCAGGTGCATGTGTGCAGGCTGGAGAAAGCAATGCAAGCCCAGCCCCAGCTAAGCAGAGCTGAGGTGACAGCAGTTGGCCCTGTTAATGATTACCTGGCACACACCTCAACAAGGATAAGGTCATTCCTCTTCCATGCATGGCCGTGTCCCTGCACTGACACTGCAGCAACATCCACCACTAGTTCCTCAAGGACCAGGCCTTGACCAGAGATGGAAAATGCAGAGCTGACATGCCATGAATTAGCTTGTGACATTTTTAGAGGTAAAAAGCTCAAGTTAACCTATTGCAGGGAAATGCACCTGGGTTGGTCCCGTTCCATCTTTTTTCTTCCTTTCCTCAGTATGAGGCCTCTTTCTGCAATCACAGCCTTTTGCTGCTTAATTGAGCTGGGGAAGGAGCCATTTCCCCCATGTCCCTCAGAAAGAGCCCAAAGGGACCAAGCACAGCCACTGCTGAGAGTGATGTGCACCGCTGTATCTCTGCTCTCTCACACAGCTAACACACAGGGCTTCACCGTACCTTATGCTGGGAACTCTGGTGAGATCTTCAGCTCCTGGTCAGAAACAGCTGAAGAGAAGCAGCAGTGCTTGCTCCACACCTAGTTCTTTAACAGTTCTATAGTCCCTGGTTTGCTCATCACAGTCTTATGATTCAGATGTGCAAACCTGATGTACACCTCAGTCCTTCTCCTTTTTTACATTGAAGTTTGTTTCAGCAGCTTTTTTCAGCTTGAGTTTAAAGGCCAAACAGTGGAGGGAGGTTACTGGCTTTGCTACCTGCCCACTCTCAGGATCTATTTCTGCATCCTGGGCTCAAACATACAGCCTGGCATCTCCAGATCCCTCACCACCCAGAGCAGTACCTGTTGCTGTGTGTGCAGCAGGAAGGGGAGATGACATGTTCCCACATTTACCAGCTCTCCTCAAAATCTCTGCAGATGTTTGGGAAACTGCTGGCGGACTGGCAGTTAAATGTGGCAATCTCTTGGAAAGTGATTCCTGGTTTCAAAGCAGCTCACAAAAAACAGCCCCACCCTGTAACCCCACCTGTGGCAGTTCCAGGATAAGAGGTAGAGAAATGGCTCCATTCCCTAGCAGAGCTCCATTTTTCTTGCATGACACTCTCCTTTCTGACTGCTAACTCCAAAAGGGAATTGGCTTTTCTGCTGCCTTATTCACCTCCTAAGGAAAGGTGGTGGATGGGGGAAAGGAGCAATCACACTTGCAAGGTCCTTTTCATCCCCCACCAGCAGTCGGATACCACTGCTTGGCCCAAGGAGAAGGGCTGCAGCATGGTTGAGCTGGGGGTAGGCAGGTGGGTCACAAGGGATGGAATTGGGGAGACGCTTGGGACAGCATGTAAGTGATGTGCTGCTCTGGGTGCTGAGCAAGTCCCTCTTTCCTGGCAACTTCCCACGAGGGGCAGAGCAGAGGAAGGTGAAAAGGGCAGAGATCATGAAAGGTCGGTCCATTGAAGCCAGTGGCCTTGATGGAGGAGGCATCCACGGAGCTGGTGGAGACGCAGGATGGTTCCCTCTACTCCACCGAGCCCCAGGGGTGCCCCCGGGGCCAAATTCCATCGGAAATCAGAGCAGCAGCCCTCAGGGGAGACGCTGCCTCTCTTTTCAGCTGTGCACCCTTTTGCCACTCGTTGATGTTGGGGTGCACGGTCAGCTGAACCCGCACAAGCTTCCCTGGTACCGCACCGCGGGTACGGGCTGGAGAGCACAGCAGGAGGATGAGGGGGACAAGGGACAGCTCACCCCCGGCCGAGGACGACGCCGCCGGCCCGCGCTGCCCCCGCCCCACTGGCCGAGGGGCCAGCCTGCCCCCGGGCCGGCCCTCCGCCGCCCTGCCTTTGTGCCTGCCGGGGGGCAGAGGAGGAGCTTGCGGAAAGTTTTGGGCTAAAAAGCCACCTTTTTGCTGCCAGCCGAGCCCGACGTCAGGGGCCGCTGTGCTGCGCGGGGCTCCGCACGCGGCCGCCACACAAAGGCAGCAGCAGCAGCTCCGCGCCGCTCCGCAGGTGAGTGCGGCCCCCGCCCGCAGCCCTCGGGTCGGGCCCCACCGAGATGGGTGCCCCGGGCGAGGCGAGCGGAGACCGCCCGTCGCTCCCCGAGGAGGCGGCAGTCATCCAGGCTGAGGGCTCCCCGGAGCGGGATGGGGCTTTGCCGGGATGGGGGAATGGCTCTGGCTGGGGAGGACCTGCAGGAAAGGGCGACTGGCGCCGGATGACCAGGGGCGGTGCCCCCCCCCGTGCAGGATCGCCTGAGAGGAGCCAGGGAAGAGCCTGGAGATGCCGAAGGATGGAGTTTGGTAGGGAGCCAGGGCTCCTGGAGAGCAGATGGGTTGAGGCAGTGGCCCGGTATCCTACCCCCCATTCCTCGGGCGAAGCACCCCACACTGGTTCGGGGAGAACTCAGCTGGCAGAGATCTTCCGATCGGAGCCTGGGGAGCTGCCCCGAAGCGGGGCTCGACCACCGCCCGCCTCTCCGGAGGGCGAGGGAAAGGCTCTACGGGCTCACGGCGCAGCATCTACCCTGAGGAGGGAGCAGAGCGCAGAGGTGCGGACGGGCGCTGCCTGCTCCCCTCTCTGCCCTCAGTGCAGGGACAGAACCCTTTTCCCTTGGAGCACCTTCTCGCCCCTGAGAGGGGAAGGTGAGGCCGGTTGCTGGAAAGCCCCACAGCCCCCCTGCTTCCCTCAGCACCTCTAGGGAAGCCTCCTGGCCGTGCCAAAGCTTTGGCTCACGGGCACATGCTTGGTGTCCCCTTTCCAGGCAGCAGGGAACCTCCTGCTGTCGCGGTGCTTGTCTCCAGGCCACGGGCTTCCCGAGCGCTGGGCTGGCTCCTCGAGTGCCGGGCTGCCTGCCCGGAGGCTGGGAAGCAGCTCAACCCGCAGAGGGAGGACAGCAGTCCTGAGCCCACCACTGCCAGAGCCAGCTGCAATTTGAGCCGAGCAAAGCCGAGCCGAGAGGTCCCTACTGGAAAAGGGGCTGTGAGGGGGTGCCAGCCCAGCCGCCACTCCGTTCCCGGGAGCGCATGGGGACACCACTGAGGGATCAGGAGCTGCGGAACATGTGTGGGCCGCCTTAGGAGAAGTCGGTGGCATTACCTGCCCCGGAATGGTGTCTGGAGAGAGGTCCAAGCTTTCCCATTGCAATAATGGGTATTTGAGCTCTGCTTCAGCTTCACCAGGTTATTTTTCTTTTTAGAGCTTCAGCTTCACCAGGTGATTTTCTTTTTCTTTTTAGAGCTAATCCTAGATCATAAAAACCCAGAGCAGCTAGAGAAGGGGGAAGAGAGAACAGGGACTGATGTTATGTGAGAGCCAGGCAGCATAATAGGAGGAGAGAAGCCAGGGCCCCGCAGGGATGCAGGAGTAGGGCTGTGCAGGCATGCCTGAAGGTGCTGTCATCCCAGCCAGGAAAAACTCATTTGCGTGGCTGTTTGGAAAACCAGTTGGGAAAATACACTCCCTTTTCCTTATGAATGCTTTAGGATGAGCCATGACTGAAGATCCCTGCAAAACTTTGCCTGGGGAATGCAATATGCTGGGCTGAGCCTGGGAGCAAATTCAGGGGTCCCTGGGGCTGTAGCTGTAGCTGGTCATCCCCTCAGAGGGTATCCTAGCATCCCTGTGTATACATGGGCAGGGCCCCACGGCGCCCATGGCAAACAGAGGGAGTCTGTGCCTGGAGGTGAGGCAGGGGTGAGCGCAGAGAGCTGGGGCTATCTGCCCTGGGGGCTTGAAGACCATGTCAGAAGGGCCTGAGCAGAAGGTGCTGGGCTGGGAGGTAGGTGCAAAGAGCACAAGGAAATGCTCTGCAGCAAAGAATGGGAGAAGTTAACAGAATACCTGAAACCAGAGGGATGGTGTGAACAATGTGGATGTCAGAGGTGCTACCCCATAAGAGCCACTGCAGAAAGTGGGACAGCCATATCTGTAAGTCAGCTCAGCTCTAGCCTTGTTATCTGTAACGAGCCCATCTTGGCTGAGCCCTTGTCCCCTTTGAAGGCAGATGGGTTGGAGCAGAGCTGAGCTGTGCTGTGCTTGGCAGGATGGCTCCCAGCTGGGCTAGGTAGGGGGAAGGCAGATCTCACCCCCATGACTGTGCCCTCAGCCAGCCGGTCTGTGTAATTCCCTGTGACAGTTCAATGCAGAGCAAAGCTGGCAGCTTGGCGGCAGATGCATGAAGGGTGAGTGCACTGGAGCCTGAATAATGTGGGATGCTGCTCTCTCTGGCATGCTGCCCAGGGAGCCCAGGGGAGGGAGCAAACACTGACCCTGGGCTCTTCCCTTCATCCCCTGGGGCCTGTGGTTCCTCCTGTCCTCTACAGCCCAATTCTGCAAAGCCCATCACAGAGCCAGGGCAGGTGCCATGTATTTTCTGGATGGCTGCTGCCACACAGATATGGGTGGCATCTTTGGGGGAACAGAGACGGGGTCTCCAGATTTGAAACGCTAGCTCTGCATGCCTGCACTCCTCTTCCCACTGAGAGCAGGATCTGGGACCCCAGTGCTGGCAGCAACATCCCACAGTCTCGTGATGGCAGCCAGAGAGGAGCCATGGTTCAAGGTCACCAGGGCAGGGGGACAGGGCACGATCCCCAGAGCTGAACCTTTATGTGTGTGCACCCTTGTCGCAAAGCTGCTCCCAGGTGTGTGCACACCTGCACACCCCCTGCATGCATGGGTGGCATGGGCAGCAGGTTCCATCCCTCCAGTGAGCTCCCACATTGTGGCTGCTTTTTTTGGTGTTTAATCCACTGATAAAACTTTCAGACTTCTCATGGAAGAAGGTTTCTTTTCCTGGACTTTTTTCCTTTTTCCTGGCATCCTCTGGAACTGGAGTAAGGTACTATGTGAGCTGTGTTCCCTGGCCCCAAGGCTCTTTGGTATGGGGCAGCAGCCTGCTGGGTCATGGATAAAAGATCCAAGAGAAATATGCAGGTAAGGGCTGGTAACTGTAGAACCTTTCCCAGATGTAGTGAGGGCTGTGGGGTTCCCCATGGAGAGGATTTTGACCATATACAGGGTAATGGGGGGGCTGTAGGGGTGGGAAGAATCTGCCAGCCCTGCAGCTGCCTGGTAGGAGGCAGTTGTCGAGGTACATAATTAACCTTCCTGTTGCAATTAGTGAACATGTTCTATGGGGGGGCAACAAGAAGGGCACAGGGGTGTACACACACATGTAGGTGGGTGTGTGCAATGGAGGCAGCTGCTGTCTTACTTCCACACAAGCTGCCCACAGCCCACCATGCCCCTCCTCAACACCACATTGCACCCCAACCTCCAACCCACCTAACTCTCCTTCCTCCACAAGGCAGGATGCAAGTTCGGAGTCTCTTCCTCCTCCTGGCACTGATCCTGGTGGCTGCAACCACCGAGGCTGGCAAGAACAAGAAAGGTGAGGAGCAGCCTGGGGCAGGGGGCTAGTGGGGCGGGGGGCAGAGTGGGGCATGCTTCCTTGTCCCTGCAGAGAGCACCTACTCCACTTTTCTGCACAGAAAAGGCAAAGAAGGATGGCTCCAAGTGCGAGGACTGGCGCTGGGGACCCTGTGTTCCCAACAGTAAGGACTGTGGTCTGGGCTACCGCGAGGGAACTTGCAAAGATGAGAGTAAGAAGCTCAAGTGCAAGATCCCTTGCAACTGGAAAAAGAAATTTGGAGGTGGGTACATGGAGGTGGGGTGGTTGGGGACCACCATGTGCTGGGTGACTGGGGCTAACGTCCCACCAGGTCCTGGCTAGTTCTGATGCCTCTGCCCTCTCATCCAGCCGACTGCAAGTACAAGTTTGAGAGCTGGGGAGGCTGTAGTGCTCAGACAGGCCTGAAGACTCGCTCTGGCATCCTGAAGAAAGCCCTGTACAATGCCCAATGTGAGGAGACTGTCTATGTGACCAAGCCCTGCTCCTCCAAGATCAAGTCGAAGTCCAAAGGTCAGTTCCCACCACTCATGTCTCCAGAAGGGTCCTCTTGCAACCCTGGCCAGGAGTTTTTCAGAGGTACCTTGGCCTGTTTGGATTGGCTTTGCTGGTAGTGTAGGGGATTTCATAGGATGCTCTTTCCTTTGCACTGCGAAGTCCAGCTGCTGGCTAGGTGGGATGCAGATGCTACTAGGAAAAACCCTGGTCCCTCCACATACCACTGCCATCTTTGGTGGGATGGGGATTCCCTGCCCTCCTCACTAGGATGGTGCAAAATGTGGTTTGGCATGGCAGGAGGCTGCCTGCAGGGATGCAGCCACTTCACTGTGTTCAGCCAGCCATGCTGGCTACTTTTCTACCACAGCAGTGTCTGGGGGACTGTGAGCTGCCAGCAGATGCACTAACTCTTGTCTCCTGTGCTTCTTGAATGCAGCAAAGAAGGGCAAGGGGAAGGACTAGAGCAGAAAACCAGCATCCTCATCGGGCCCTCAACATGGTGCCTACAGGACTGGATGTCCAGCTGCAGCTGGCCCACACTACGGTCTTCCTCCTCTTCTCCTTACTACTTTCCATGACCTCCTCTTTCACTGCGATGCCTTGCTTTAATCATTAGTGTTGTAGAGAGCAAACCCACCCACCCTGCAGGATAGGCTGCCTCCTTCCTTGCTGCCCCATGGGCACTACCGGTGCATCCTGCTCACCTCCTCTGGGCTGGTATTGGGTTCACTGGGATATGCTCAGAGAGCTGGGATGGAACACACATTTTTCCAATCTCCAGCTCAAGTGAGTTGCCTTTAGCACATCCTTTTGCAAGCCCAGGACCCTCCTTGCTCCTCCACCAGGTACTAGTGCCAGAGGGAATGGCTGGGTGTTGAATGCCTGAGTAACCCCATCACTGAAGTTTCTCACTCAAGGACTGCTCTGACCTCAGGGGATTTATTTCAGTACCCCTTTGGCTGGGGCATGACTTACCTGCAGCAGCTGAGGAAAACACAGCCATCACCCTGAGAAGCAGCTGTGTCTCCTCTCTGTACTTCTAACCATGTGTCCATGCTGGGGCTGCAGCCCCTCTGCCTTTGCCATGCCAACACCAGTGCTGGGTGGGAGCTCTCCTTTTGGAATTTTTCTTTTTCTTTTTCTTTTCCAATAAAAATCTTTTATAAAAAAGTATCAGAAGTTCCCTGTTGTCCCCACAAGGTGCTGCTGTGCTGGAAACCCCAGCAAACCCCAGTTTTGCTGACCTCAGTGGCATCAGCAGTGAAGTTACCATGCAGCTGGTGGTGGTGGCTTGGGTGCCACATGCACATGGTCCTGGACAAAGCACCAGACCTCACAGCCTCTTTGCAACAACGCTTCAGGTTGTCCCTCCCTTGCTCTTTGCAGAAGGGATGGGCTGCAGGAAATGTCACCAGTGGGTGACAGTGGGAAGCAGGGAAGGAGCTACCCGGGTGATGACTCATTCATTCTTCACACCATGGACATTAGTTTCCTGGTCCAAGGTCTTTATTTGTCTTGGGGTGTGTTGGGCTGCAATTGTAACCATTTAAAAATACCCGGAAACCCACCAGGCATTTTGGGTACCCCTAAAGGCAGTGATGGAGGGGTTCCCATCTGCGTTGGGGCAGCCTTTCTGCAGGCTGCACCCTGGCATGAGGACAGGAAGGACATACAGACACAGAGTTTGCCAGTGCTAGAGTGGCCCCATCCCATCCGTTGCCTGCACCTGCTGTGCCCACCAAGGCTTGCCCCTGGCTTTGGAGGGGGTGGGGAGCAGCCCCAGGGCGCTCAGGGCGCACACGCGGCCGGGCTGGGAGGAGGCTGGAGACGCTGGCTGAAGCCCGCATGCTGAGGGCTCTGCCACAACACCCATGGCAGCATTACATCCATTTACAAAGCTCAGCAACCGCCTCCTTCGGCCTCCCTGGAGGAGTGCCCTGCACGCAGGGCAGGAGCAGGGCTGGAGGCCACTGTCATCCTCTCCTGCCTCCAGAGCCATGCATCAGGCCTCCCACACCCACAGTGGGGAGAGCAGGAACCTGCTCATGGCCCAGACGAGACACGGGGCACCTTAGCCCCATTGCAGACCCTCTTCCCATCCTCTTCTGAGACCCCCAAGTCCCCCCTGTCCCTCCCAAGGACAGTTATTTTCACAGTCACTGCTGCCCACTACTCAGGGGCCCCATTCCCCCAGGGATGTGGAGCGAAATCCTGCACCACACCAGGGCTTTTCTTTGCAGTTTTAGTTTCCATCGTTGTCGGAGGCAACTGGGTTTCACACTCCTCACCCAGGAGTGAAATGCTTGGTTTATCTGTCTGTCTTTCCAGCAAATTGCTGTCTGAGGGCAGAAAGGACGTGAAGGGGAGAGCAGAGCCAGAGCACAGGGAATAATTCTGCCCCAGGACCCTGGGTGAGGATGTCCGAGGGGACTCTCAAGGGAAAGGAAGCATCTTGCCACATCTGTTAGGGTCCAATCTTGATTGCCTTCACAGGGGACCTGGCTAGGCCAGCAGGACTCCCCATTAGCCTGCCTTAGCCAGCCTGGTCCAAGATGTCTAGCAAATGTTTGACCCTGGTTTCTTTTAATTTCTTGGGTTATAAACGCTTTATAAGCCAATGGAAAGCATCCAGCATTAGCCCATCTGCATGCAGACAAGCTCTGATGCCTTGGAAATGGTCAGCTGGGGAAAAAGGTACATCCAGTCTTAGGAGAAACACTGATGCCATTTGGCCAATCTCAAGAGCATGGAGCTGGGAAGGGCTCCTGATGACCACATCTCCTCTTGCCTCTGGCTTTCTTGGTGGCTCCCTGAGCTAGTCCCCAGGCCCAGGGTGACTGGAAGGACCTGCAGCTCAGAAATGCCTTGGATTTTTGTCAGCGTTGGATGAAGGGCATCCTCTGCAATCACTGCACAGTCTGCACTGTTGTGAGTTGGGAGCAGAAGACCCCCTGCTGGCAAAGGAGGCAAAGGGAAGGGTTTCCATAAGGTTTCTGAAGTGGTCCCTGAGTACCAGTTTATCTGGCTGTGCCAATGTTCCTGTACTGGCACATGAGAAGGTGCTTGAAGGTTTTCTTGAAAGTGGCATTGCAGAGGGCGTAGCAGGCTGGGTTGATGGTGCTGTTGACATAGCAGAGCCAGTAGCCGATGGACCACACTGTTTCGGGCACGCAGGTCTCACAGAAGGTGTTGATGAGGACCATCACGTTGTAGGGTGTCCATGTGAGTATGAAGGCCAGCAAGATGGCAAATATGGTTCGGGTGACTTTCTTCTCTCGGGCAGCCATCTGGCGCTTCTTCCGTACTTGGCTTCTGGCAATGCTGGCAAACTTCCTGGCAACATTGACTGGGCGGCTGTTGGCCAGGGAGTTGTGGTTAGAGGCACCTGACTTGGCTGGGACAATCTCAATGGCGGTGACACATTCGGTCCCAGTCTGTTTGGTGACAATCTTAATCTTGGACCACTTGGAAGTTGGGTTCACCCGAGGCTTGGCTGGACTCTGTCCTTGCCCTGCTGGCAAGACTTCTGCTGTGGGCTTGTCTTTTGTGGTCTGGGTCATGCTGACGCTGCTGGACTCATTGGATGTCTCCTTCTCCTCCTGATGGCCAGTGGCCTCTGTCTGTGCAGATGGTTGGTCATCCACTTTCCCATTCCTCACCTCCTCCTTCACCTCCACGGCCCTCTTGGGAGAATTATTGTTGTTCTGTTTGACCATGGGGCCCTTGAGGAATCTGAGGGACTTGGCTTTCCTCTCTTTCCTGCTCTCAGGCTTGTGCCTCCTTACCCTGCTTCTGCTGGCCAGGGAGATGTGGATGTACAGCACTGTCATGATGACCACGGGCAGGTAAAAAGCAGCAATGGCTGTGCCAAATGTCACCGCGGGGTTGGAGAGGAACTGGATGTAGCATTCCCTCTCAGGGACTGTCCTCTTGCCCACAATGAACTGCCAGAACAAGATGGCAGGGGCCCAGAGAATGAAGGACAATATCCATGCGGCCGCAATCATTAGCCCTGCCATCTTGGTGGTCCTCCTGGCCGGGTATGTCAGGGGCTTGGTGACACAGAAGTACCGGTCAAAGCTGATGATGAGCAGGTTCATGACAGAGGCATTGCTCACCACATAGTCCAGAGCCAGCCACAGGTCGCACACCACGGCCCCCAGTGGCCAATAGCCTTTGATGATGTAGACCGTGTAGAGGTTCATGGAGAAGACCCCGATGATGAGGTCTGCACAGGCCAGGCTGAAGAGGAAATAGTTGTTGACAGTCTGGAGTTGGCGGTTCACCTTGATGGAGAGCATCACCAGGATGTTCCCCACCACGGTGACAAGACTGAGCGAGCCGGTGACAGTAGCAATGAAAACCAGCTCCACTGTCTTGTAGTTGGTGGGAGGCTGCACAGCCACCTCAGAGTGGTTGCCCAGGGTGAAGTTGTCATAGGTCAGGTTGGCCATCTTTGCCTGCCAGGGCTGAGCAGAGAGGTTGTGCATGGGATCTGCAAGGAGAGTGAGGACAGAAAGGGAGAATATCAGATCTGCCAGCCTGTCCTGGCAGCATTTCCTCAATTTTCCAGGCCACCACTACTGTTGGCTAGTGCTCAAAAATCTCCCAGCATTCCTGGACTTCTCTCTCCCACTGCAGGAGTCTGTTGGAGGCATTTCTTGTGTCCCTATTTAGCAGTAGAGGAGACAAATGAGTTGCAAGAAGCAGGAAAGGGGCTAAGACAGTCCCATGGTCAGGGTGTGATGGTCCCTTCTTTGCATATCCCAGTGGGAGCACAACCTCGTGTGGCCCAGGGAGGCACACGGGGAGGCCAAAAGGCTGGGGGAAAAAGGACTGCAGAGCCCAGGGGGATGTACATACAGCACTCACTGCCAGAACAGCACAGCATGAAACCAGTGCTCTGCCCCAGGGACAAGAGCAGATTTAGGTATGCCCCCGGCATGTTCCACTGACCTCCCCAAAGCACTCCCCAAGAGGAGCCTAACCCACAAAACCCTTGCCGTGGTCTGCTTGGCTCACCTGTGTCTCTCACAGCAAAAATCTCCTGGAAGATGAAATCTGGGAGAAGGAAAACAGCAAGTTACACCACAGCTTGCGTGCATCCCACAACATCTTACTGAGAGCAGCAGCCTGTCCAGCAGAGGTGGCCCTGACCAAAGGGTGACACTGCTGAGATACAGATGCTGAAAAGCCAAGAAAGGCTGAAGAGGGGTAGTTTGGCATGGTGCAGTGCACAGCGCAGCAGGCTCAGAAAAGGGAGGGAGCTGCACAAGTGCCATCAGTCAGTGATGCTGGGAAGTGATGACTCCTTCCCCCAGTCCCACATCACAGTGCAGCTGCAGCCACCCAGGCTAGGAGATGTACAGTGTGGAGTCAGACACCTCATCATGATACATGGAATTATTTATGAAAAGTGATGGGAATTATGGAGGGAATTACTACTTCATCCAAACCAAGATGCTTGTGGTTAATCAACCAGGGTAAGAGTAGAATGGACCTTAAAAAAAATCAATAGATGAGAAGTGCTGTATTAAGATGAAAGGGAATTTCCTGGAAAGCAAAGGAAAAGCAAAGGCACTGAGGGAGTTTGACCGGACAGAAGAACTTCCCATTGAACCTGTCTCTCCCACACTACCCAGGCCTCCAAAACATGATGGCCCTTCACCAGCCTCACCCTGGCCTCTGGGGGCATCCCAACCCTGCCAGACCATCAAGGGCAGCCCCTCCAGCAACTCCTCCTGGTGCCCAGGGCAGGAGTTCAGCCCCAAGGGCACTGCTGCCAGGAAACCAGCAGGAGCCAGCGAGTGTCCCCACACTGGGAGCGCTCGGCACAGTGTGTCTGGCTTGGGTGATGGCTCCAAATGCCTGGGACTCCAAAGCTGATTTTGCTGAATGTATAATTGTGCCATTAACAGGCACCTCTTCCAAGACAGGTCTGACAGGCTTTGAGATCAGTTTGTCTATTTTAAGTATTTGAAAAGAAATGCCCTTTTCTTTCATCTGTGGTGAGGGTAGGAGATGTCTGCCACCAGCAAATAGCCAACTTTTTAATATAAGCACTTTCTAAAAAGATACAGGTGTAATTTAATGGAAATGTGGCTGCTGAGATGCTAAAGCATGGGTCTGATGTAGCCATTTAGGCAGCTTCTGCATTAGCAAGCTGTGATAAT